TTCCCTTTCCACGAGAAGAACCTCTAAGATTTTTAAGTATAATTAGACATTTGTTGGTTAATATCATACACTTAAAAAAGAATAAACAAGCCCAGGGTCCAGTTTCATAAACAAAATGAAGTAAAATTTTAAGTTGACTTCCCAACAAAACAAACTGATACACTTTTCTTTGATAAGAAATAATTTTCCAAACCAGAAACTTAACCACTTGTAACAAAACCCAAATACTTGCTACCTAAGTAACAGCTCTAGAGTTCTTCATTCTACAATATTTCTATCACGTACATCTGGCATCTGACCCATTTTATTCCTCATACTTTGATTTCAGAATAATTCATTCATGCAGAAATGTTACAGAATGCATGGAGAAACAGATGACAAAGGAAGCAACTGAAGAACTAGAGCTTTTAATTATACCTGTATTTTATTTATATTTTAAACCCTACAAAGGGTCTGCTTCAATATCCAAAAGCAAATAACAGGCCGACTTACATAACATCTTTATGAAATATACAGTAAAGCTACAAGTTTAATGATGAGCAAACCCAAATTCAGGTCCCATAATCCAAGAATCAGCTTCATGAAGGCAAGAAATCACAGTCTGACAAACATAAAAGCCATCAGCAAAGCAGCAGGCAGATTAACTGTGCTTGAAGCACAGGGTAAATGATGGTATTTGCACCAAATGACTAGTAGAAATAAACAATGCTCAGAAATTAGATTTATACATATTCTACTTAAGAGTTCTCCTGTACAAAATACATATGAATTCCGGTGTTTGTGTCTAGGTATATATGTAAATAAGAGAACCTTCATGATGTATTTCAACATCACCAATACATTTTTAAAATGTCACATCACCATACGCTTCTTATGCCATCATCATACGTTTACAATTTCATGTATGTATTTTTTGAAAAGGCAGTACGTTCTGAATTCAATGGCTTTACAAGTAATAAACTTCTAACCTGTTGTTTAGCAAATGTTGGCTTCTTTTTTGCTTTATGCAAACAACAAGCACACCAAACCCCCTAGTATTTCATTTCACAAAAAGCTTGAATCTGGGCAGAGGCTTCCCTTTTCCCAGCCTGCGTTCCCTTTCTGACTCCTCTTCCTCATCTCTCATCAGCAGTCTTGGTTGGTGCAGTTTCACGGAAATAAGTGACTTGGATGGACACAGCCTGGAGATGTTATTCACAAAACCTGTCAAAGTGTAATGATTCACCTCACCTTCCGGTCATTATAAACACAGCGGGGTTGGTGCTCTCTCTCCCAAACCTTTTCATGGTGAAACAAATCCATCCCTCCAGCAAGCAGCTTCGTTCACAACACCCCCCACTCCCACCCCATCTGTCGCACCAGGCCACGTCCCCCGACATCTCCTAACTCTAGTCCTTTCTGTCCCAAGATCCCCACTCGCAGTCCGGGCTGCCTTCCACTATTCTCCAATCTTCCCCAGCCCCGCCACTGTTCTCTTCCCATTTCCCCAGAGCACCCTACAGTTCCCATTCTTCTCCCCCTTAACCGCTCCCCATCGCACACCCCTGTCCTGGTCGCCCTTCCTCAGGGAACCCCCGGTCCGACCCCAGTCTTTTCCCACTCTGGGATCCCTCAACTGCCCCCGAGGCCGGTCCCCCTGCCCGACGCGGACATTGGGGGCGGCGGGGCAGGGACTTCGTCTCCGTTTCCTTTCTCCGCACATCAGCCCTTCCCGTCGGGAACAGGCGGGCGGCCGTACCTGAGTCTCCCGGGGAGCTCCGGGCAGCTCTCCGGGGCGGGCAGGACTGGGCGGGCGGAGGAAGGAGTGGGAAGCGGAGGAAGAAAGCGGGGAGGGGGGAAAACAGTAGGCGCGGACCGGTCGCCTGCCGCTCCGCCGCAGCTGCGCCCCCGCTCATCGAGCCGATCGGCGCTCCGCAGCCTGGCGCCAGGCGGAGGGAGCGGGTCCAGGCCGCAGAGATCGTCGAGGGAGTCGATTTCCCCCTCCGCTCTCTACCTAGAGGCCCTAGTGAACGCGAAGTTTGGATACCCGGGGTGATTTTGTGCTTCAAGGGAGGAACAACAGCCGCGGGCTCCCGAGGTCCCAAGCGGAGGTCGGAAGTTCAGGGGAGGTGGTGGAAGCTCTGAGGAGTCACGCAGGGTGGGGCGCCTTAGGGCTTGCTCCTGGCTGGGGTTGATGAGGCCTTAATAATGTGGTGCTTTGTGCCTGGTCCATTCCCCGGGCTAAGGAAGCCTAGCAGAAAAATGAGGATGGCTCGAAGCCTGACGACCGGCTTCGGCTCGTCTTGGGCCTTTCCTGAAGTAAGGAGATGTGTGTGATCCCTTGTTTATAGCATCAGAGTTAGACTGATGAGAGATCTTCAGGAGAGAGATCTTCAGGGTTACTAATCCAGGATCTTTATTTTAGACATTAGGAATCTCTCGTCCAAAGAGATTTACTTGACGTTGCACAGCTAGTTGGACAGGTTTGGGACAAGGACTCATTCTTTCCCCTGTATGCTGTAGAGTTCTAACCTAAAATAACCGGGTCCAGACACCAGGCAGACACCAGAGCCTTCAGATTTCAGGTGGGAATTCACTCTTGCACGTCCATTCCACTGTTCTCTTGACACCGCCTACCTCCCCTCCCTGCAAGTTAGTAGCATATTTAAGCCTGCAGTGGCTGGGCTTAGTAATCCAAAACAATTCCAGTTTCGTTTTTGCTTTCTTTTGTTTGTCTTATTGATCCATTCCTCCCACACACGCCCCAGCTGGATTGTTTTATCATTTTTTTCCTATCAATTTTTTTGCTACACGTCGTTTCTACTAAATATCTTTGGGTCCTTTGTTTAATACAGTGTTTTGATTTAGTGCATATTTAAGCCAAACAAACACTAATTGAATGATACCCTGGCTAGGGCAATGACTCTCAAGTTAATTACATAGAGTTGAACCACCTGGAAAGCTTTAGAAATGGATGCCCCGCACTACTCTGAGATTCTGATTTAATTGGCTTGGGATGTTGAGAAACAGTAAGCCATAGGTTGTCAATTGAAGCTTCTGAAAGCCTGATGTTAGACTCGCTCATCATCTGTGAATCCACTACTCAGATCCAGGCTGACTTGGACTGAAATAGTCCACCTGGAAGGGAAGTTGCTTATAGTATGTTTCTCTGCTTGGGCATGATGATGAGACTACCCATCCACAGATAACCCAGAAGTTTTTTGGTTTGTGTTTTCCTGTCCACAGTTGACTTTATATCTGCATATCTGCTTGCTATGGCTGCTTCCCTGCATTGGTGCCTTAGCCAGTTAGAGCTTTAGCCAGTTACAGCCTCTGCCCTTCTTACAGAACAACTTAAGGCAATATGATTATTGAGCTGTACTGGCATGTCATTGCATAGCTTGCATGAATAAACCATTCTTTTTGGTTTTTTTAACCATAGTTCTTTAGTTCTGCCAGATATTTTGGTATAATTGGTTTGGGGAGGGCTAATGCAAGCCTCACCCTTCAATCACCTGAACAAAGTCTCTGACTATCCCCAACATTTCTGAAAGCTTAGAAAATGTCCTTTTACAGTTAATATGAATCAGATATACCAGTTATCCTGAAAGAATATAAATAGCACTGGACGTAAAGTCAGAATGGGGTTCCAGTCTCAACAATTTGAATTATTTGATTATCTCCTACTCTATTTTCTCTTTCTTAAGCTCCAATTATTCAGATGTTGGTCCTCTAATTTTCTTATTTCTCTTTCAATTTTAGACCTTCACCCTTAGTGGGGCCTAATATCCTCCTCGCCAGAGATCCTTTGTTCTTTCTTTTCAGAGATCCTTTCTTTGAGGACTAAATCTCTGGACTTCTGATTGATTCTTAAATAGGCTTTCTATTATTCCTTCTGTTTTTAGCCCACACCATGCTCAGAGGTATCTGGTGCTTTCAATTCCCTTATGTGGGGTTTAGCTGTGTGAATTAAGCTGCTTCATGACCTGCTTAGGATTCCTGTTTCTCAAGTTGGCTAAGATAATTGCCACTAATTCATATACTTTCCAGGTTTCAATATTTTGTTGCTATTATCTTCTCTCCCATGAGGCAGAAAAAAAATACAAATCAGTTATAAGCCTGTGAACAATTGTTCAGCATCAGTCAAAATGTAAATCAAAATAATCAATGAAATATCATTTTTAATCTATCAATGACTGGGAAGGAAGGAGTTAAGCAGCAGATCTACAATCAATGCTCTCCCTTTAGAGGGAAATACTCCTAAGGAGAGCAAGCAAGCATGCAAATCTTAAAAGTATGGTAATAACAGACTTCCTGGCTACAAACTAGTATTTACTAGCCGGAGAGTTTGTATCTATGGAATTCCTTTAGCAAGATGTACTTGGGCTGGGATTGATTATAGAGACCAATTCTTGATCAGTTAATTTAAAAAGTCAGTTAAAGCAATAGGTCATAAAAATGGCACATATACTTTAACTTTAAAATTTTTGACTCAAATGTGTAATTATACATTCACTCACTAATCTTTGAAGTAGGGCCAAGACCTTTTATCTGAGCCTGAATCTGTTTGTTGGAGCACCTCATTGTTTTTATTATAAATTACTTTGTTTGCATTTTCTTTTTCTTCAAAGCAGAGCAAGAACTTAAAGACACATTTGAAGCAATTTGAGTGCCAAGTTAATCTAGATTTTGTACAATTTTTTCCAAAGTTTTACAGATTTTTCTTACCCATATCTTGTTCTATAGTAATTTATTTGTTGTTCACCTTCATCAATTTAGTTTTCATGGAAACAACTTTTTATTGGTATTTCATTGGTTTGAATATTAAAATCCATAAGTATAATAAGAGGCATAAATATTTTAGGTTACAAATACAAATTGACTCTTTTTTTTTTTTTGCGGTACGCGAGCCTCTCGCTGCTGTGGCCTCTCCCATTGCGGAGCACAGGCTCCAGACGCGCAGGCTCAGCGGCCATGGCTCACGGGCACAGCCGCTCCACGGCATGTGGTATTCTCCCGGACCAGGGCACGGTCCCATGTCCCCTGCATCGGCAGGCGGACTCTCAACCACTGCGCCACCAGGGAAGCCCCAAATTGGCTCTTGATAAGCATACAGCTCAGCTGTTTTGGTGAGGAAGTACACAGGTATATCATATAGCTAATCTGTTAGCCTCTAACCTGTTAGTGCTCAGAGGACCTTGGTGTTATGTAAATATAATTAGCTTGTTTTACTTTTGATTTTGAAAGAATCTCAGACTTACCAAAGAATAAATACAAAGAACTCTTGCAAACACTTTATTCAGATTCACTGGTTAACATTTTCTGATGCCAGGCTCCACTCCTCATTGAATTTCATGGCTCACAGTGTGAATAATACTGAGAGTTCAGCCCAGTCTCTCTCTCCTAGTAGATGAAGGAACAGAGGGCCAGAAAGTATACTTGACTTAACTCAAGGGGGTTGTTAACATTTCACTTCATTTGCTTTATTCTCTCCCCACTTCTTTCCCCACCTAAGTATTTAAAAGTTACATAATCATGCATCCTTACCCCTAAATACTTCCGTGGCTATTCCTAAGAACAAGAACATTCTCTTCATAACTATGATTCAATTTTCAAATTCAGAAAATTTAACATTGATACAATACTATTTTCTAATAAAGCTTCCATATTCAGAGTTTGCCAGTAGTGCCAGTTGTGTCCTTTGTGGCAACAGTGAGTACAGTTCACAGAGAGAATGTACAGTAATGAGTAACAGAGCAAGTGGGTTAAGTGGAGTCTGGTTTTTAC